ATATGTATGTACGTCCGTCACACTCACTGGTCACTATATGTATGTACGTCCGTCACCGTGTGTGCTTACGTCCGTCACACCTCTGTACGGACAAACACACACACACACAAACACTTTGTACTTTTTCACATGACCAACTTTTTTTCGTATGACCATAGACTTACAGTCAATGGAATAATAGTTTAACACTATCTTCTTTTTTCACTTGTGTGGATGAATGTAGTCTGATGAAGACGTCTTAGACGTTCAAACGTTACAAAATTTTAGAGGCTTTAGAAAATTTTTGAAATTTTTTTAACTCGGTCAAAACCAAACATTTCGAGATCGAGTATGTTTTGTGTAGAAGCAGAATAATTTTTACGAAAAAGTAGAATTCCCGCTTTTTCTGTTCAGTTTTGATTGCCTTTGTAGCTTAAGAACACGTTTAAAGTGGATCTATGCACACGACGAGAAAGACGATACTTTGAAGCACTAGAAGATACATTTTGACTCCATTTTGTTGCATGGAACCGGATTCGAAATAATTCTTTTTCAATGTGTTTTGGGTTAGAAAATTGAATGGCGAACCTTTTACAAAAGTATGAACTTTTTCTCGTATCCCGAAGAAGGAGGGATCTTGACACATCACAAGTGTTTATGATAAAAGGATAGTAAAAGAATCATCTGTTACTGAATAGATGTGAGACTCACTGTATCCTTGGTTAACAACTGCGATTTTTTTGCTCAAATTTAGAGCAACAATAGCAAAATCATTCTCCGAATTTTATGTTGGATGTTTTAATGCCACAATTCAGTCAAAAACTATCAGTGGAACAGTAAGTACTACTGCCGCAATGATGCTTTTTATATTTCACATGCATTGTATTAATGCGCCTCCAGCTATGTGACACAGTATATCGCTTCTTTCTGATTTGCAAATGGCAAAAAAGAGAGGAAATGAATATATTACTTTATTTTAATAATATGACATTGAATTAACAAATCTGATTCGCTTGAGTAGATCTGAGAAGAAATATCAATCACATAGGAGATGCGCAAAGATGTAGTTACAGTAACAATTACAGCTGACAAGACACACACAAAACAATGACATAGAATTCTTGAAGAGTATGTCACGCTTAATTTTTCATTGTTATTGTGATCAACCAAACAAGGGGAATGCACTGTCTATTTTGCATTTTTAAAATAACGAGCATGTATCATTGATAGAGAAATCAATGCATTCAAATAGATGCACTCTTAAGCGGACAAAAAGACAGTTATCACAAATCAATGAAGAAGCAAATGTAATAGATACAACATTTTGATGAAGATGAAAAAGCAATTAGTTAGTTTTTGATTTGAATTCATTAGCCTCTCTTGCAAATATGCATCCAATCTATAGAAGTTCATTGCAACAACCACAGATCACATGGCCCTGGAAGATGAGAACAACGATGAAGAACCAACAGTATTTTTATGCGCAAAAGTTTATTATGTGCTATCTGCAACTCGACAATTAAATGGTGACAGATACTTTACACTCTCATAAATTTTGGGATGATGAAATAACATGGATTTGAAAAAGATGAAGAAACCAGTTCTAAATGATTCGTTGATATCCAATAGCAGATTCAGAAAAACTTCTACACATGATTTTTTGGATTATCTCTCTCCCTCTCTCGCTACATACCATAAAACCATCAAAGATAATGCTTGCAAAGATCCGTAAGCTCTTCGTACGGGAATGTTAACAGAACAAGTAGTTTTGGAATTACTGCTCTGCATGTATGCGTCGAGAGCAAGTAAGATTTGGACTGATTTACACAACTATCACTTTTACTTCTAGACTACACAATCCAATTATGGTACATCATCAACATTGCAAACCGCCACGAGTCTCAGTATTTCATTAGCCACTCGGTCGACATCGACGGATGTTGGTGTTAATGTTTCATGGAGCTTTTCTGGAGGTTTTACCAGTGTGAGAATGGCCATTAATAATTTAAACACTCAACAGTGGGCAGCGATTGGATTATCCACGGATGAAAAAATGGTAAAAATATCGTTTTTTGTTCTACATTGTGAGAGGGGTCATTTGTTTCTTTTAGGGCGAGGATCACATCTTTGTATGTCAACATATGACAGACAATAATGTGACGATAAAACGAATGATTAATCCAAGAGGATACAGTAGACCAATTGATGCTCATTTAACAAGTGGTGGAATATTCACTCCTCAAGAAACAGGGCTGCAAGATGGAGTGGTAATTTGTCTTTTCACATTAGGCAATTTTACCGAGTCTAAAAGAAGATCAAAACGACAGACAAATGGACCAGTATTATTGCAAACTGAACAATATCATCCACTAATTGCTATTGGTGCCCTCGATAGTACAAGTAATGCCACTTACTATAACCATTTAACATACTTAACATTGATTATATGTTCAATCTTGTTTTTAAAGATACCATGCAGAAACACAATGCTCGACTGTCACAAAGTAAACTTGTCGCATTGAATCGTCCAGAAAAAATTATTTACAATTTGAACAATGCCGACGGAAATCGTTCTAATTTAATGAAAGCTCATGGTTGTATAATGATATTTACATGGATATTAATCGTTTCTACCGGTATAATAATTGCTCGCTATTTTAAAAAGGTCGGATCAAATCGAAAATTATGTGGAGAAGCAGTGTGGTTTAGTGTTCATCGAATTTTAATGTCTTGTGCAGCTATATTGACAATTTTAGCATTTTTATTTATATTAGTTTATCGACAAGGTAGTTGGATAGAGAACAATCGTCCAAGAGAATATGCTCACTCTATTATTGGTATACTCGTTATCAGTTTTGCATTTATTCAACCATTTCTAGCGTTGTTTCGATGTCATCCAGAAGATCATTACCGTTTCATCTACAATTATTTACACGCATTCATTGGATTTACCGCTTTTCTATTATCGATATCCGCAATATTTTTAGCCGTTTTATTTTCAATGTTTGATTTTAAAAAAAATGTTTCACTGGGCATTATGATAGCATGGACATGTTGGATTGTTCTAATATTTTTTACTTTTGAATGCGTTGAATGTTGTTTTAAAAATGATAGAAAACACAATAGAGAATTTGTCATACCGCAGTTCGATGGTTATGGTTATGTAATGAGTACAATATCAACACCATATAATCCAAACAAAGAAAGATCAAATCCAATGAAAAATAAATTTAAATGTCTACTACTTATTTTACATGTACTTGTGGCTTGTGGATTATCATTAGCGCTTATGATCATAATTAGTCAATCGTAGCTTCTACTTTTGTTATGAATCTTGAACTGAGTGTATTTTATGTATATACAGCGTGGCCAACTAATTCTGCTACTGTAGTGTAATTCCGTCACGTTCTTTTCTTTCATTTTTGTTTCTATTATAATTTTCAAACAGTAAGACATTCAGAGCACTGGGACGTCTTAAGTTCAAGAGAAAAGTGTGCGAACGATTTTGAGATGTCGTCCCATTTTACATAACCCTTCTTTCAGAAAATACGATGAAAATACAGACTTTACTTTTTCCGTAAAGTTTTGAAAACTATGTGTATATATTTTTATCGTATTTTCAGAAAGAAAGGTCGTGTAAACCAGGACAACATCTCAAAATCTTCGGCACACTTTTCTCTTGAACTTCAGATATCCCAATACTCTAAGTGTCTCACTGTTTGAAAATTAGAATAAAAACAAAATGCAAAAAAAAGAACGTGACAGAATTACACTACGATAGCAGAGTTAGCTGGCCAAGCCGTATAAATGTTTAATGAGTAAAAAGAAATAAAATATGAAAACTGATTTTTTATTTATTCAATAGTTGAGTGTCGATTATGTCTAAATGTTACAACAATTTATCGTTATATTTATTTCAAATTATAATATTGGATGGATCTATCTGTTGACCTACGCACGAGTATTTGAACACAAGAACAAGTTTGCAAATAATTATTAGCAAAGAGGAATACAGTCTGATTTAAAAATCAGTACAGACGTTTCTGGAGTAAAGCGAAGGGCGGCAAAATAAATTTGCCGTGAAATTTAGCACAATCTAGCCGGATTCATTTTATCTTACTATTTTGTGCATAATTTAGTCCAATTTTATCAATTAACACACAGAAAAGAGAATAATATTTTTTATCAGTATTATATTTTATCAGCCCAATTGATTAAAAAATAACTGTCGCTTGTTGGAGGCACGTTGCTTAAGGGGGGTCCTCCCCCTAAACATACCCTCAAATTTGGCCATTTTGTACGGAACATCTTCGGTAGTATGCCTATGCAATAAAAAACTCGTTGATCAAATACTGATTGAGTTATTAATTAATTAAGTTCAAAATTAATTGAAATTTTTAGTTTGACAGGCATATTTTAAAGCCTTTCTAGCTTTCGATATAAATGTTACATTCAATC